GCGAGAGTCTTCATTCTGTGCCTTCTTTGGCATGAAAGTCTTCTTCAATGTTGAGATCCTCTTGTACTTTCGAGACAATGAAGATCTTGAAGAGTATGATGAGAGATATTCCTCAAACTTGGTTTGGTCGAATTCGTATTTGATTATGGATTCAACTGGAATCTTGATCGGCTGCGACACGACGGTCTCGGCAGCGAGACCGTTGGCTCCCACTGTGGTCGCCAGTTTGTTTTCGTCAAAAGTTGGTTTTGTTATGGAATTCATTATATCTTCGGTCGATTACAACAAATTCAAAGAAATAGTCTTTTTATAAGACTTCTTTTACACAACAAAATGAAAATTACAACTTCTTAGAAACAAACGCAGGATCGTTGTTTGGATCGCTGCTTGCGTGGGATCTTTGCCTGTGCCGGGAGCGCTTTGACTCGTGGACCACCAAATCACAGATTCTGATTGAACCGTGAGGGGTTTAATGATTCTTCCTTCGTTTATCGAAGTAAGAATTTGAAGCGAATATCTTATCGATGTAAGATGTTCACTCTTCTAAAGATCGCTGCCGCGGCCAAAGGGACGGTTATCAGCACGTTCCATCGTGCTTAAAACCGTTCTCCCACGACCTTTAACCACTTTTTTCGTGGTTTAACTGCTTGTCCACGTCAGCACACGTTTTATTTCTGATATGCTGCCACGTAGGCCTCAAAAAATCATCATATAACTGCCTTGTAACCGCCACAGCACTCCTTTAACATAGCCGCGGCACCCTAGGTTGCAGCGCCTAAGCCGCGACACAACAAGCTGCCGCGCCTTAGCCGCGGCACTATGTGCTGTCGCGCCTTAGCCGCGGCACTATGTGGTGTCGCGCCTTAGCCGCGACGCCATGGGCTGCCGCGCCACCTTGTGTTGCCTGATGACGTGTAAATTGTTCTCCCATATTGTTTTGAGTGGTATTTGGATGCCTGCAAGCATTTTTCGACGCCTACATACTTATCCTACTAAACACAACTAGTCTTATTTCCGGCCATCAATTCTGTCATACCACCTCTTCTGTATCATTCAAGTTGAAATTTGTTATCTAAACCCAAAATTATGAGAATGAACCTAGTTTTACTTCGAATTTGATTGATGATTTGTGATAATGTAAGTGATCAAGTGTTTGTTGGGTTTTTTTTTTTTTTTGCTTATGCTTCTTATTTTCATACTTCAGGATGGAATGAGCGTGCCTACTGCCTATCCTCACACCTACGCGTGAAGGTGCACACGAGTCAATTTACACAGACCAAAACCTCACCAAGTATCCCAAACGGCTAGGGCTTAACTTCCTCCAAAGCCACTCTTACGCCAAACGAAATTCAAAGACTCTAATTTTATGTGTGAACCAAAAGAAATATTGAGGAATATAATGCGAGGCTAATTCAAATGAAAAGGGTACACAACTTCAATGCATTATATGGGCATTATGATACATGCAAGTAGCTTGGCCCCCCTTTGCTACTCCTCGGAGGAAAGCAGGGACAGTACTCACTGTCTGAAACTGGACTATTTTTTCAAACCCACAGCTATAAACAAATAATGGTTACCATTATAACCAACAAACTCGCTGCAAACTTTACAACAATGAATCTACCTACTACATACTTTTTGCACAGCAACCCTTCTCAAATCTAGATGTCATCCTCAGGTTTTGCTACTAACAAGGAGTACTTGACTTTCAAAGAAACAACACCCCCTTCAACACACAACTTAGCACCAGTCACCAACCAATACCCTGGGAGATCATCCGGTCCCCTCATCATCTCGGTCGTATCTACAAATCTCGACATCTTCGACACTCTAAGCGGTGCTGGTGGCCCTCCAGGGAATACTGCAGAGTTTATCTCCACCTTAGGCTTCTGAGGTGGTATCATACCAGTGCTAAACCTTGAGCTTATCATAGCCGTAATAGAGCCAGATTTACGTGGTACATTTGTGGGCCCATCCCATTCTGAACGCCGAATCCTCATTCCAATAACATTGGAGAAGCCAAGACGGAGGAATAGAACTTTCCTCATCCCAATATTCTTCACCTCAAGCCATGCTTTGGTCACTACGGTGGCAGATTCATCGATGCTGGCATTGTTGTATTGCACTGGAGCGGTACAGACAAGAGAAAGTAGGGCCCACTTGATTGGTTCATAGTAAGCCCGTTGGTTTGTAGGAATGTCAGCATAAGAAGAGTCCTCTGAGAGTTGGAAGATGTTGGGGCGGCTGGAGAGGTGCTGAAGATGGATGGCAAGGCAGTTGTTCCTCTTGCCTTCAAGGAAAAGACGGATTCCTGTAACTGGTCGATTTTTTGAATCAACCTGCGGTGAAAATAGTAAGCTAAAAAGAATAACGTCATCCTACAAATTAGAATGTGATGATCATAAATTAATTGTAAAAAGGTCAGATGTAAGTTTAGATACTAAATTGATTGTTCAAAGGCAAATTTAATCGTTCTTCTCTCAAGCTAATGCAATTGCTAGGTGTAATGGGAAGCTAGAATTTTGTTAGGGCTATCAAGCTGGCGCTCACCTGATCTAGATTAAATCTTAAGAACATGACAGGTTGAAGCATAGAAAGAGGGAAATTATATAAAAAGGGGAGAGTTCGGTCGAATGTCGAAACAAGAAGACAGACCATGAATCACCACAGTGAAAATTCTATTGATCTTTAAACTGGCTATATAGGTTCATGAGATGGCATGAAGGGTGGCTTCAGTTCAGCTTTTGATTCACTTCAGTGAATCAAAAGTTTTCATTAGGATGACTCCAGGCGGAGGATTCCTTAACACAAATAGTAAACAACTACCTCAGGTCGTTCAAATTTGTCAAAGACAGGATGTCAGATATCTGCATATAACTCATTAAGAGAAACTTTAAGGAAATTAAAGGATTTTCAAACCTAAGAAAAAACATATACTCCCTTTAAAAGTGTGAGTTTGGGAAAAACTTTCAATGGTCAACATTACCCTTGACCTTTTTTATATTACATTACGATCCTCTCCTAATTAATAAATAGATATTTAATGAATAGCCCATGAAGAAAAAAAATTTGGAAAACAATGAATTTCTGTTAGAATTCCAGAGTGAGTTAGTTAAGAGATTTTCCATGGATACTCTGCTCATCAAATTGAAATTGGAGTAAAGAGATTTTCCATGGACACTCTTCTCAACAAATTGATTTTTTACCACATAATTAAAAGTATGATTTTGTCAATTATTTTTAGATAATAGACGCCAATAATATCAAGACCCATTGGCATATGCTAAACCCCTATTCCATCTTCTAATCCTATTTTAAGTAGGTAATCGATATCCATATGTTTGAGTTCCATATCACAATCTGATTCCATCTTAAATTTCTTATTAATTATTTAAAAACCATATTCCTATTAGCCTAATCCTAATTTGAATAGTAATCATAATCTCTCAACTGTTTACCTTATCTCCTTATTTAATTTGACCTCTGATCTCCTATTCAAAACCCAAAGCTCATTAAAACTTTACTATAATTAAAACCTCTATCTTCTAATTACCCTAAACCCTATAAATAAACCTCTTCCTAGGCCTCCACCATCTATGCCGTCATCTTCTTAC